AAACGCATCACTTTAATATATAGTTTATAACTCGTAAACCATTTCATTTATATGAATCATGTATTAGGTTGTCAAATATCTCCCTTCCGCTTTTTTGCTCTTGGTTTATAATACAAAAAGGCGGAAGGGAGATATTTGACAACCTTATATATAGAAAATTTGTGAAAAATTAAATAATAAACAATATTGTCTAATATTATAAAATCCTACAGCAACTCGGTATACTTAAAAAATGCCAACCGATAATACCAAATGGTCAAAAAAGCAAGTTGTCAATTATTTTTTATTTAGCAATTTGCAATAAGAGTGCATTTACTTCTTAATAATAATATTTGCCAAATATTTTATTTTATTTAGACAGGAACGGTTTGAAAGTTACGAAATATTTAATAAATATATGCGTTAAAAATGCTTTTAAAATTGTTGTACTATAAATAGCACAGTCAACAAACTATAAGCCTTATACCAAAATACTCTAATAATTTTAATTATTATTACTTTTATTTCAAAATTGTTCCAAACGCCTGGCTTTTCTCAATATAAATCATTGAAGCGAAAAAACCCAGCAAATCACCGCGACCAAGCCGTTGAGGCATCGAATCTTCATACAAATTTTATATTTTTATATGAAATCCACTCGCCTCATTTCGTTGGTTATTCTCGGACTTTAAAATTCGATCATTTGTTTTGTATGAAAAAATATTCCATTGGAAAAATTCCAACAGATTCAAATGAATGGCATTCGATATCTTGTTTTGGAAGAAGAAGGGTTTTATATGGGTTGAAGATAATGGGTTAAAAAAATATTTGAGTAGATATATAAGTCTTGTTAAACTTTTTTTTGGAGCAGTTTTTGTTTGGTTTCCTTTGTAATAATGTAGAACAATTTATATAAAAAACAACTTCATTTTTACTAATTTTAAATAATAATGTAAAAAATTATTATTGAATAATACATTTTATAACTCTTAATTTTATTTTTAGTAATATTTATGCAAATTAATTTTATTTTTGTCTGTTTTTGTGCGGTTGAAATTTCTATATATTCATGACATTTTTTGTAATTTCATAAATATCTCTATAACTTGTTTATAATTTTATACATTTTTATATAGTATAAGAAAGCTTATAAAATTATGCTAATTGTTTTTGTAATTCAAAGTTATAGTCCGGAATAAAAAAAGTCCTTAAAATCCTATCTAAACCTAAACCATCAACATCTTTCTATATATACAGATATCACCTGGACATTTTGTTTAGTATTTTGAATATTTCTGCAATAGTTTGTTCAAACATTTATAAAGTGTAATATATATTTAGAAAGCTTATAAAATTCTACATAAATTACATCTAAGTCAAAATTAAGATCTATAACAAAAAAGTCTTTAAAATCATACCTAAACCTTAACAAACAATATCCTTCAGAATTGATTTAGTAAAATTGCATTTATTTAGTATTTTGAATATTTCTAAAATAATTAATTCCAATACTTATAAAGTGTAATTAGCTTATAAAATTCTACAAATTGTAACTTTAATTTAAAATTATAGTCCTGAATAAATAGTCTTCAAAATTTTACTTAAACCTAAATTATGAACTTTTTTCAAAATAGTCTTAATTTTTAAGGACAATTTTTTAGTGTTTTGAATAATTATACAATTTTAACATTTATAAAGTACAATCTCTCTTTAAAAAGTTTATAAAATACTACAAACTTTGTTTGAAATTTAAAATTATAGTCCTTAACAAAAAAGTCCTTAAAATCCTACCTAAACCTAAACCATCAACATCTTTCTAAATATATAGACACCACCAGGACAGTTTTTAGTACTTTGCAAATATTTCTTTTACCATTTATAAAGTGTAATATATACTTAGAAAGCTTATAAAATTCTACATACTTTCTATTAAATTAAAAATTAAGGTTTTGAATAAAAAAATTGTTAAAATCCGGCCCAAACTTCAACAAACAAAAACTGTTTGAATTGTTGTAGTATAACTCCAGGGCATTTTTTTAGTACATATTTTGCATATTTACACAATACTCAATTCAAATACTAATAAAGTGTAATAGATATTTAAGAAGCTTATAAAATTCTACATACACTACATATAATTTAAAATTAAGGTCCTTAACAAAAAAATCTTTAAAATCCTACCTAAACCTTACCCAAACCATCATCAATATCTCTCATCTAGTATTAAATAACATCTAATAAAATTCTTGATCCGATTTATTTTGTTATTGTCGTTTTTGCGGGTTTTTACAATCCAGATAAATAAATATCATTAATTAATTAACCAATTTTTTATTATCTTCCGTATTTAAATTTTTATACGCAATCATGATACAAAAACATTGAAAAGTATTCAAAAAAAAGTACTCGCAAGGTTCTGGCAAGATATAAAGAAATAAAGCAGAAAAATATTAAACAAAATTGTGTAGTAAATTTTTATTTTAAATCTATTAAATTTACTTTGATACTAAATAAATTTTTTTAAGACTTTACAATTATTATTGTGCTTGAAGCAAATATCAAACAGCAAAATATTAATTAATGAATGAATTAAAATATTATTCCATTATTATGACGACAGTCGATTTGCGTTAGAACTTGTTTGTTTATTATGGAAGAATTATAATTTTCAACAAAATTACAATCATATTTATTTTTACATTTAATTTGTCAAAATTTTATGCAATTAAAAAATTATAAAACTGGACTAATAATTTATTTGAAGAAACTCGTTTTTCGTGTTGACGTCAAATCTTGTGAACTATATCCGTAAGATGACAAAAAAATCCACGTGTTTTTAGATAATTTAGATAATAAATTAATTATCTGTATTTATCTGGATTTGTAAAAACCCGAAAAATCAAGAATAACAAAATAAATCAGTGCGATATGTTATGTAATATGAAATTTGTATTTGGATGCTGATGGGTTAAGTTTTGGTGGGATTTTGAAGACTTTTTTGTTCAGGATTGTAATTTTTAAATATGAATAGTGTGTTTAGTATTTTACAAGCTTTTTAAATATATATAATACTTTATGAATGTTAGAACAAAATTTTGTGAAAAAATACAAAATACTGAAAAGTGTTTACTACGACAATTTTAAGGATTTTAAGGATTTTTTTATTAAGGACTATGGTCTTTAATTATTATTGCTAATTGGAGAATTTCTTAAGCTTTCTAAATATATATTACACTTTATACAAGCTTAACCAAATTTTTGTAAAAATACAGAAAAAACTTAAAATCTCAAGTCTGTTACTACAATTTGGAAAAATTAAGACATAAGAATTAAAGAGACAATTTTAATATTCTAATAAAATTCTATATTGTTTACAGGATTCTAAATATTTATAAAAAGCCTATAAAGTTCTCTAAATTATTCTTATAATATATATTTTTAAATCGTCAAAACTATACCTAAAAATCAAATTAAAAATGATTTCATCATTAGTATTAGATTTCCTACTTCATTTTTAACATTTATTATTTTTATATCTATATATATAATTTGTTTTCGATTAGGAAAATTACAATTACAATTAATAATAATAATGTAATAAATGAAGAAGAATCTTCACTTACGTATATTCAATTTAATCTTTAAATAAATATAAACAAGACAATTAATTCAGGATAAAAATAACAGGTTGATCTTTAACGTCATTAATATTATATATATATATATATATATATATGCATAATTGTTAATTTATAATTTTATATAATATTTAAATTTTAAAATTTTATTTTACATAGAAGAAAATTCTGGGAAAAAGTTAAATGGGGCCAAAATTTCCTCATTTTTTTTTCATACTAACCCTTCTAATAATAACGTACCATTTTATGAACAAAACTCAAAATCCCCAAACTTTTAATATTCAAACAAATTTCAAATTGTGTATTAAACAATTATCACATTTTTTAAAAAACTTTGCAAAGACACAAATTTTTATATTTTTTTATAAAATTAACATCTCTTAAGTAACCATGCATTTTCATTAGGTTTTTCAAGAAATTTCTAATTTTTAAATTTATTAAAAACTAATTATTTCAGAACTTTCAAGAAATTTAAAGTTGCATAATTTTTTCGTCTTGGTCATAACTATAGTAGTTGTTTATAATTTTTAGCAACTGCAAATTTACTAATATATTTTCATCAAAAAATTTGAAAAAATATAAATGTGTCACTTAATTCAAAATGCAACATAAATTTTACTACAACCAAAATTTTAATCAAATCAAAATTTTCAACAGTATATTAACAAATGAAAATTTTGCAAATTATTACCCTTTGAATAATAAAATAAATGAAAATTATCCTTTTTGTAAAATGAAAAAAATTAGTAATAGTTGAACTTTGCAAAAAATGCAAAATTTAAATGCAAAAAATACAATTAATAAAATGTGATAATATCAATTTGATTAAAGATTTTCTAGAACTAAATTGAATTTTTTTTAAGCACGTGTAATGAAATTTTTAAAACAATGACTTGTACACTTTAACCAAAAATAATTGTTTAAAAAATCCAAACAAAATTTGGAATTTAGAAACAAAAATTACTTTTATATATTTTTACTAGGTTTTGTATTATTTGTAGTAGTGTCACTAAAGAAGTGATGAAATATATTTTCAAAACATAATTTAGTTTCATTTTAAATAACTGAATGTACGTTGAAAATCTCTTGTTTATAATTTCATATATGTTTATATGAAATGATTACACCCGTAGATTTTATCTTTAATTTATTTTATGGACATTATATTTTAACTAGTGGTATATGGCTTATGCCTAGAGATTTATAGAATATATATGTATATATACAGGTATACATACATGCATATATATATATATATATATATATATAGGTATATATCCCGGTATACCAGTTTGCCGTCACACGTCCGCACCGCCTGGCGGCTCCACCGTCGTATATATAGGAATAAAATTCTAAAACCAAAAGTGCATTATCAAATTGCTTCTCAACAGAAGCACTACTTCTAAACAAAAAAAAAATACAAACTTAATTTAGTCAGTGAATTTTTAAAATATATTTCTATATGATAGACTGCGTTAAAATCTTCCTGATATTCTTAGTCGTATTCTCAGTCAATTTTTTATATCTGGTTCATATGAAATTTTAATTTGATTTAAATTTTATTTATTTATTCGAGTGATTTGTGTGTGATTTTCGTGATTTCAGACCAAAGGGACGAATAAAATGTAAGTGGATATAAAATTTATTTTAATTTAATATTGGTGGTGTAAAACCTTTATAAAATTTTTGTAAATGTTTCATTTTTAATTTTTGAGTACATCGAGTTGTTGTAGAGTGTTATAATGTTAGACAATATTATTAATTATTTAATTTTGTACAAATTTGCCAAATATTTTATTTATTTCAATCAAATAGTTTTAAAGCTACAAGAGATATTAACTAGTAGTGCATTATATAATGCTGAGGTTTGTTTTATAGTAAATTTTAAAGTTATTTTTTATTTCCTGGTACATTTTAGGATTTTACCAGAATATTGTAGGGACAATGTTACAGATTATACAATTTTAAACAATTTTTCCAAATATTTTATTCATATTAATCGAATATTTTGAAAACTATAAAATATATATACATAAAAGTGATGCATTGTTTTACATTTAAGTTTTTTATGAGATTTGAATATTCTTAATAATTTTCTATTGTTTATATTTGGCTCTAGGATATTATTTTTATTTTACATAATATTGTATTTTATTGAATTTTCTATAAATTTGCCAAATACCTAAATAATTTTTAATTCAGTATAATACTACACACAGCAATTCTAGTACAAAATTTTAAAATATCAAAAAATAATTTTAATGGGTGAAAAATTTATATCATATGTATTAAAATTTATTTTTAAATTAATAACAATTTATATAAAATTAAATTTTTAATAATTAGGCGATAAAAAAAAGATATATGATGAACTAAATAGTATTGAATTTAAATTAAAAAATCATAATTTTATTAAAACTTAAGAAATAGTATCATAAAATTTATAAAAACCTATAACAAGAAATAAATTTTAAATGCAATATTATGTACTATGGTATAATAAACATATAATTGAAAAAAAAGCTTGAATTTTATTTAAACTTAAATTAACATAAATTATAATGCAAATAAGAAATGAAAGAATTAATTTTAAATTTTAATTAATTTGGCGAAAAGAATTAAGAAAATTACTAAAGGATTTATGGCAGGAAATAACTATAAATAAAAATGAATGAATATTATTATGTATAATTTTGTCTTGAAATTTCTTATTTAAAATTTGTTCTTGATTTTATGAAAATTGACAAAATATTATGTAATATCAAGAAATAATTTAAATTATTCAATTTTGTATTGTGAAAATTTTAAATATAAAAAATAATTTAAATATAATATTTGTTATATTTGAAAGAAAAAATAAATTATTTCGAATTTTAGTATATAAAAAATTAAAATATATGACTGAAGTAAATTTACTCACCGAATCATCAATAACTTTTAAACTATTTGTTCAAATTAAGTATTGTTTTTGGAAAATTTGTTCAAAATTGAATTATCTACAATATTGTATAACAACAAATACTCTACAACAACTCGATATACTCATAAATGAAAAAAGAAAATAACACATATCTTACAAACAGTATTTAGGATCATTCATTAGGTACATTTTTTCACTAACTAAATCATTTATAACTTTCAAAATAATTATCGAAACTAAATAGTGTTTTTGGCAAATATGTTTAAAATTAAATTATCTACAATATTGTCTAACAACAAAAGACTCTACAACAACTCGGTATACTCCTAAAGAGCAATATAAAATAATACATATTTTCTGAAAGCTTTGTTCATGATTTTTTGCCTACAAAAATACACCAAAGCGTTTATAATTATAAAAAAAATTGAAACAGCAAAAGTTTTGGAATTAAAAAAAAAAATAATAATATTATTTTTGTTAAATTAATGACTATTTTCTTAAGTATCATTATTATTATTATTATTATGAAAATTACCTAAATCTTTAGTACTTTTATAAGTATTTAATTCTTAACCATTTTTTTAAATTATTATTCTTATTATAAGAAAGTAACTAAATTTTTATTACAATTATTATTATTAAATTATTGACTACTTTCTTAATTATTAATAGTAAAAACAAATAAAATTTAACAAGAATTTATTATATATATTTATGTATATATTATATATTATAATTATTTCTATTAACTTCAAATTTCACTTTACCTAAGTGAAAGTGTTTATAAAGTAAATTTTATATATTATGTTAGGGTCATGAAAAGGGTCAAAAGTCAAACGACACGTTTGGAAAATTTTCGCAAAACAAGTTTGTTTTGCGAACAAGTTTTAGTTAATAATTTTTTGCGACAACTTCTGCTCATCTTTTAAAGAGAAATGAGGAAACGATTTGAATGGATATAAATATTAATTTATTGTATATATATATATATATATATATATATATATTTATATTTATATATTTATATATTTATATATTTATATACTCGTGTGGTTTTGCGGTTTAATTATGCAACAAAGAAATTATGAGAAAATACACATCATCATTAGAAAAGAATATTTATATATATGTATATAACTATTGTTTTGCTTAATGAACCTGTATAAAATTAATGTTTTTTTCTTTGTGAGTATACAATTTTTTTGTTTGTTGTTACAGATTATTCAATTTTGAATAAATTTGCGAAATATAGTACATAAATTGCATAAATAGTTTAATAGTTATGAATAATTTAGTGAGTAGATGCACTTTTGTCGAATGCAACACAAACGAGAGTAATTGTCAATTTCAAAAATGACAATAATTTTTTTTAAATTTAATTTAGAAAATAAATTTATATATGAAATATGATTTCATTTAAATATTTAACTAATTATTATTCGAGTATCTATCTGTATTAATAATTTATTTGTTTCAACTATTGAGTGTAATAAAATATTTAGTGTATTTTATTTAGTGTATTTTATATATAGTAGTACATTGACATATTTTTTAAATACTATAAACAACGCTTGTAGTAAACGCTCTTTATAAGTATGAGGAGTTGTTATAGGATGTTTTAGTGTAAGACAATGTTATAGATAAATCAATTTAGAACAAATTTGCCAAATACAGTATTTAATTTGGACGAATAGTTTAAAAGTTATAAATAATTTTAACCAAATGTACTTTTGCTGATGCACTGAGCATCAAAAACCTTTATCATTTTATTTTGCAATTTATGAATATACTCAGTGGATGTAGAGTGTTTTGTTGTTAGCCAATGTTGTAGATTATTTAATTTTAAACAAATTTTTAGAATATTGCATAAACATTAGACAAAAATTGTAAAAGTTACAAGAGTTATAACAAATAAACTCAAGTTATTAGCAGTCATAGTATAGTATCTAATAGAGTATTAGTAGTAGACTGGTCGACATTAGTTAATATTTTTATTATTTATTACATATATATGTCTCATATGAATTTTACTATATTATTTTTTTTATTTCAGATAAAAAATGTCGACAGAATTTGAAATGAACGGTGGGCCCACCGAAACTTTAATACAAACTGGAACAGCCTCAAGGTAAATTAATTATATTTAAATAAGTAAATAATTTTGTATAGATACATCTATAATTTCTATGTAACATGTAATTTTATTTTAACAAATTTTACAACTACGCTTTCTCACTAAATTTCTTCAAAATTAATTAAAATAAGGTTAAATTATTCAATTAGATTAATATGAATAAATAGAAATAAAAGAAAAATATTTTACTTATTACTTATTATCATGAGCAATATATTCACATAATTTGAAACTAAAATAAATTTGTTGAAATACTCCAGAATAATGACACTTTTAACTTTTTAATTAACACTTTTATTTAACTTAGTCACTCTTTATTTAAAATATTTTTCTTAAATTTATTCATTATTGTATAGGTTATTATATAGGTTTTATTCACTTTTTTTTAAATTAATTCAAAATTGAAATAAATCTAAATTAGTGAGTATGCATTGATCCTAAAATTGTAAATTCATTTTATTAACCAGTATTAATTTTTTTGAGGAAGAAAGTAGGATTTTAGTTCAGAAAATTAATATAATCTATTTTTTTATACATAAATTAAATATTACAAAAAACTACATAACAATTTTTGTATTTTTTTTCTCAGGGCCTTTGTGATGCTCCTTTTTCCGGCCCTTATATTATGGTTCGTGTATTGGAAATTATCAAGACGAAGGATGTTGGAATTGGCCGAAAGGATTCCTGGCCCTAAAGGATACCCTGTTATTGGAAACTTATTGGATTTTGTTGGAAGCAGTCCAGGTAAAAAAAATAGACATTTTTTAAATTCTTTTTTTACCTTATTATTACCTTAACCCTTTTTTACCCTATTACATAATCGAGAATATTTTTTTTTTAAATATAACCATAAGCATATTTTTATTTTTTTTAAAGATATTGATGCAAAATATTTTATTTTATTGTTCCAAAATATTCGTTTGATTTTCGTTAATTTTTATTTTTGTCGAAATATTCAAATTTTTATTAAAAATTTTTAAATGTATGAAAAACTTTAGAGTTACATTACATAATCATATTTTTTTATTTTTTAAAAAATATTTGGTGAATGTCCTTGATTTGCAAGAAATAGAAAATTAAGTGAAATTTCTATAAGCAAATATACAAATGTTTTAGTAATTATTTATAAATAATTTCAATTATTTTGCAATCTTTTAATTTGTCTTATTAGAATTTTATTTTGCAAGCAACTATTTATATAAATAAAAGTACAGGTTATTTATAATTATATTTCTAAATAGATGGAATAATTTATAAAGAATTTCTGCTTTTTAAAAAATAATTATATAATTATCCTATTTCTTTGTTATAAACAAATATCATTACATATATATGTATATATATATATATATATATATATATAATCCATTAACAAGGACATTTTCATCCAAGGACAATTAGTAATCTTACATATAAATATGCATACTAACATACACACTTATTGAATGGAATATATGAAATAACAATTATTTAATCAAAATGCAATAAGTGATCTTAAATAAATATTTATATATATATATATATATATATATATATATATGTATGTGATGCACTTTTATGCACTTGCAATAAATTGGAACGAGATTTGAATTTGAAATTTTGTGAATAATCTTATATAACAGATTAACAGATTTTATTGTAATGTTTTTGTAAGTTTTATTTTGCCTTAGGGCAAGTTGTATGAACTTCTTGATACGTAAATATTTGACTTAATCAATAAAATTTAAATTTTGATAATGGTCAATGAATTTTTAAAATCAATCCAGGATTTTTTTCAAAAATGTTGATGATAATTTTTACACAATCGATGCGAAGTTTTTTTCGAGTTTCATGGGATAATTTTAAAATTAAAAAAAATACAATGTTATTAATAAAATAAAATCTTCAGAATATAAATTTTAATAATACTAGATTACTACTCGATTACTGAGAGTGGTACTTAGCCTATTGGTAAGTTTTATAAAACTAAAAAAGCTTTCGCCAAAAAATAAATATCAACGTGAAAAAGTGTAAAAACGCAAATTCGTCAACGTTTTTTTTAAATTTTTTAAAATATTTATAAATCATACATTTAAAAATTTATATATATTTTTTTCACCATAAAAAAAATATTAAAAATTATATTAAAATGGAACAGCTAGGTCCACTGTCTCATATTTAACTTTGAAGAAATTTTATGAAATAATAACTGCATTATTCAACCAATGCAAAATATAAATTTCATGGGTACATTTTTAGCAAAGATAACCCTGTAGATAACCTTGATCTGGTTCTTTGGCAGAAATATTCAAAAATTCTATAAATTAGAACAATTTTCAAATGACCATAGTTCTTTCCTGTTAACCCAGCAACGAATTTCATTACGATTTTTCAACATTTATTCATTCTAATTATTCGCGATGAATATTAATTTTTTTTTCAATCATAATGCGTCATTTTAATTTAAATCCAACTAGATTCGTATTGGATAAACGTGACACTAGAATGAATGACATGTATTAATTATTTATCGATTGAATCATTCATTATTATTACGTCAATGCAAAATGCAAAATGCAACTGGATGCAATTTACTACTAATAAAATAAAAGACGTTTTACCGGTTTTACACCTGATGATGAGAATAATTTAATTGTTTACTTGAGCTGTCAGCATATGTAATATATATTTAAAATTAAATAAAATTATAAAATGGATAAAATGAATTTCAAAGACACGGATTTAATTATACATCTATTAATTTAACTACTGTACGACTAGAATTTTATTTAAAATGTTGCATTTAAATTTCGAAATAAAATGTTCACATTGAATGAAATAATTGTTATAAATCAAATATATTTAATCAATGGGCTTTAATAATTTTATAATAACTAGAAATATTTTCACACAAATTTTCTGTTTTTTTAATCAATTTTCAGACAGTTTTTAGTCACATTGAACAAAAAATTTGCTATAAGATTGCTATAAGATTTTCAATAAATACCAAATCAAAAATCAATTGATTCTTAATAAATTTGTCAAATACACCATTCATATTAATCGAATGGTTTACGAGTTATAGAATTTAAACAAACGACATGCATCGTCACAAGAACGTCTATACACCTCTTAGTTCAATATCTATTTTTGAGTACACCGAGTTGCTTTAAGGCAATTTTTTGACACCAAATCATAGACTAATTAATCCTAAACAATTTCCTCTAACACTGCATTTACATAAATCTATTATTTTAGGATTTACAACCAATTATCCAAAAAAATCCATCACCTATTTTCCTCGTTTTTGAGATATTTTCTCCAACATCTATATACATATATGGAAGTGATGCAAAAATAACGCGTCAAAATTAGAAATAGATGTTCAAATTGAATTTTAAAGTATACCAAGTTGCTATAAGATTTTTAATTAATACCAAATCAAAGATCAATTGATTCTAAACAAATTTGTCTAATACACCATTCATATTAATCGAATGGTTTACGAGTTATAGAATTTAAACAAACGACATGCATCGTCACAAGAATGTCTATACACCTCTATGTTCAATATCGATTTATCAGTACACCGAGTTGCTCTAAGGCATTTTTTTGACACAAGATCATAAAATATATAATTCTCAACAAATTCCTTTAACACACCATCAATGCAAATCGAGTGGTTTAGGATTTACAACTAATTTTCAAAAAAAAATGTATCATACATTTTCCTTATTTTTGAGATATCTTTTACAGCGTCAATATATGTATATGCAAGGGATGTAAAAATAGCACGTCGATATTAGATGTCGATTTTCAAAGAGGATTTTAAAGTATACCGAGTTGCTATATGATTTTTAATTAATACCAAATTAAAGATCAATTGATTCTTAATAAATTTGTCAAATACACCATTCATATTAATCGAATGCTTCAAAAGTTATAGAATTTATACAAAACACATGCATCGTGATAAGAATGTATATACACTTCTATGTTCAATATCGATTTATGAGTACACCGAGTTGCTTTAAAGCATTTTTTGACACCAAATCATAGAATAATTAATTCTTAACATTTTCCGTTAACACATCATCAATGCAAATCGAGTGGTTTAGGATTTACAACTAATTTTCAAAAAAAAATGTATCATACATTTTCCTCATTTTTGAGATATCTTTTACAGCGTCAATATATGTATATGCAAGGGATGTAAGAATAGCGCGTCGATATTAGATGTCGATTTTCAAAGAGGATTTTAAAGTATACCGAGTTGCTATAAGATTTTTAATTAATACCAAATCAAAGATCAATTGATTCTTAATAAATTTGTCTAATACACTATTCATATTAATCGAATGGTTTACGAGTTATAGAATTTATACAAAAGGCATACATCGTGACAAGAATGTCTATACACCTCTATGTTCAATATCGATTTATGAGTACACCGAGTTGCTTAAAGGCAATTTTTTGACACCAAATTGTAGACTAATTAATTATAAACAATTTCCTCTAACACATCATGTACATATTTCCACTATTTTAGACTTTACATCAAATTTTCCAAAAAAATCCATCACCTTTTTTCCTTATTCTTTGAGATATCTTTTTTAACATCTATATATGTATATGCAAGGGATGTAAAAATAGCGCGTCGATATTATACTCCAATATTCAAAGGAGATTTTAAAGTATACCGAGTTGCTCTAAGGTTTTTAATTAATAACAAATCAAAAATAAATTGATTCCTAATAAATTTGTCTAATACACCATTCATATTAATCGAATGGTTTACGAGTTATAGAACTTAAACAAACGACATGCATCGTCACAAGAATGTCTATACACCTCTATGTTCAATATCGATTTCCGAGTACACCGAGTTGCTAAGGCATTTTTTTGACACAAGATCATAAAATATGTAATTCTCAACAAATTCCTTTAACACACCATCCATGCAAATCGAGTGTTTTAGGATTTACAACTAATTTTCAAAAAAAATGCATCATACATTTTCCTCATTTTTGAGATATCTCTTACAGCGTCAATACGTATATGTATATGCAAGGGATGTAAGAATAGCGCGTCGATATTAGATGTCGATTTTCAAAGAGGATTTTAAAGTATACCGAGTTGCTATAAGATTTTTAATTAATACCAAATCAAAGATCAATTGATTCTTAATAAATTTGTCTAATACACCATTCATATTAATCGAATGGTTTACGAGTTACACAAATTATACCAAAGTCATGCATAGGTGACAAGAACGCCCATACACCTCTATGTTCAATATCGATTTATGAGTACACCGAGTTGCTTTAAGGCACTTTTTGACACCAAATCATAGCCGAATTAACAAACAATTTCCTCTAATACATCATGTACATAAATCCACTAGTTTAGGCTTTACATCAAATTTTCCAAAAAAAAACACACATAATTTTTCTTTTTTCCAGATATCTTCTCCAACATCTACAACTCTTCTATGGAATTCGACAGAATCGCAAGAGTCTGGGTTGGGCCTAAACTTTTGGTCTTTCTTTTTGACCCTAGGGACGTCGAAGTCGTCTTAGGGTCTCATGTGTACATCGACAAATCCCCTGAATATCGATTTTTCAAACCCTGGTTGGGAAATGGACTTTTGATCAGCACTGGTAAAGATTAACTCCGAAGATCCACTTTGTGAGGAAAAATTTTGTACTAATTTTTTTTTTTATGTTAGGTCATAAATGGAGGTCCCACAGAAAATTGATTGCCCCTACTTTCCATTTGAATGTTTTGAAATCCTTCATTGACCTTTTCAATGCTAATAGTAAAGCAGTGGTGGAGAAGATGAAGAAGGAAGGGTCCAAAACTTTTGACTGTCACGATTATATGAGCGAGTGCACTGTCGAAATTCTTTTGGGTAAGTAATAATAATCATAATCATAAAATGAAATATTAATATTATTTATAATATTATTAATAATAAAGTGAATTATTTTATAGCATTTTTCAAATATTTTAAGATCATATTTTCGATTTTTTTAACATTTTTACAAAAACTACGGTTTTTTTCGTAATCTTTTTTTGGTTTTGAATTTTGTTATTTTATTTATCCAATATATTATTATTAGTTAACAAGACTTTTTTAAAGATTTTAATTTTTACAAACAGTTATCTTATTTTTGTTGCCTTATTTTAATTTTTTAATATATTATTATTTTTGAATTTATTATTTGATTTAGTAAGTTTACAATTTTTATCGAAAAATGTGTTCCGTATTTTTCATTTTGTTTTATTTTTGGCAAAATCTAATTTGATTATATATAATATACATTTTTTAAAGTTTTTGTTCTTTACAACAGTTCCCTTCTTTTATTTCCAATAAGCTTTTAATTTTTTATGAATTTTTATTTTTGAAATTATTGCTTTTATTAAATTAATCATTTTCCTCGAAATATTTGGTTCTATTTTTTATTCTTTTTTTTATTTTCAAGCTTTTTCTTATTTTTTTTATTTTCCTTGGATTCTATTATCAAAAAATTATACATTTTATTTAAAATTAATATAATAACAGAAATATTCCAAAAGTTTGTCTTTTTATGAACATTTAGATTTCTCACAATCAGTTGAAACTTTTTTTCCTCTAAATTTTTCTCTTATCATTTTATTATTATAAATTTTTGTTGTTTTAAGATAATTTTCAAAAATTTCAAGTATGTATATATTACAAATCTGCTTTTCCTTGATACAATTTCCTTCGAATCATCTCTTTGCGTAAAAATCTCGTTTTTTTCCTCCTCGTCATAGTTATAAATAATTTTTTATTATATTATACAACTAGTATAAACAAATTGAATTAAGTTAAACTGGTTAATAAAATTACTCATTGTTGAGAGAACTTGTTGGATATATATATATATATATATATATATATATATAGATATATATATGTATATATTGCGTGTTTTCCTCGAGACAAACAACCTTTCAATAACAACTTGACTATTATTATAATAATTTTATTATGACATGATATGTAGAATTTAATGCAAGATCTTTATTAGAACTTGTTTAGAAGACTTTGTACGCGAACTAGGTGTAAGTGCCATTTTGCCTTCAGGAAAGTTGCCTTGAGGAACTTCTCGAAATGTGCAAAAAATCGATATATATATATATATATATATATAATTTTTGGAAGAAATATGACATTTCTTATAAGTACGTCATTCTTATAAAACGTCAAAAACAATGGAAGATTTTTTGTTCTTGTTTCCGAACAAGTTTTTCTACTACTAATAGTTGTGCGTCCAGAATTTGAATCACTGAACTTCGATATTATATAAATATACATACATATATAAATATATACATATATAAATATATACATATGTATATTTTTATATGCAAAATTGTAATTTATTCCAGAAGTCGTATAATTTAATAAATTCAGGTCAATGTTGTCGTTGGAATCATATATTCGCACACGTGCGAAATCATTGCCAAGGTTTAGAAAAATCCGTTATATATATATATATATATATATATATATATAAATAGATATATGTATATATACATATATATATATATATATATATATATATATATATAATTTTTATGAGTAATTCGATATTGCAATTTTGAATAATTCGTAGTTGAAACGCGGTCTTTAGTATTTTTATAACATGGATTTAGGACGTTTTTTACTTTTGGTCAAATAACTTTTAATTTTCATCCCGGACAATATAATATGTTAACATTATTAAAAACTAGATAAAATTTACTAAAATCTAGTAAAACCTGTTTCATACAATTTGATATTAAAATTTTGAATAATTCGTAGTTGAAACGCGGAATTTACTATTTCTATAACTTGCACTATATGGATTTGGTACATTTTTATACTTTTCTTCAAATAGCTTTTAATTTTCATCCCGGATGATAATAGGTTGTCAAATATCTCCCTTCCGCCTTTTTGTATTATAAACCAAGAGCAAAAAAGCGGAAGGGAGATATTTGACAACCTAATATAATATGTTAACATTAGTAAAAACTAGACAAAATTTTACTAAGTAAAAACTGTTTTATGCACTTTTTGCAATTTATTTCAAAAACAAACTTTACATATATTTAATTATAATCGTTAAGTATTGCACGTCTACATAGCATTTATTCAGTAAATTCTAAATTTCTTAATTTTCACAGAAAGATATGTAATTATTTATTTTCTAAATTTCATATAATACTGAAGAATGTCATACTAAAATTTGAGTATTCTAATACCAAGCTTTACATTTTTAAAAAATATTTCAAAAATACTCCACGTAGCGTTTTTGAACAAAGTTTTAGATTTTTAAATTAATATTTAAAAATACTCCATATATTGTCAAACAAAATCGTCATGTATCGTCACGATAATGCAAGCGTGCATTTGTTCATTAAATTGCTAATTTTTTGCTATATTTTCTAGAAAAGTATATAATTTCATATTTTTTAAATTTAGTACATATACTGAAGAATGTCGTACTAAAATTTCAATATACTAATACAAAGTTTTAGATTTTTAAAATGCATTTTCAAAAATCCTAATATACTTATAATTTTAGTAGCCTACAATGAAAAATGATTTCAAAGGTCAATGTTAAAATAATAATTTGCAAAAATAGTAAAAAGTTAATAAAACCAAATACTTTAATAATTATTTAACAAATAACAGTTCATTTGCAAAGCGTAGAATAAAATATGCGTTCCATCTATGGAGATAAAATACAAAGTACAATCTATTACGATTTTCAATGTAATAATAATTTGTATAATATATTTAATTTAAAACAATTTTATTTAATATAATATATATATATATATATATATATGTGTATATTTTTCTTATTTTTTAAATATTTCTTTACTAATTTTATATATAAAATACATATATATTTTTATCTTATTTTAAAACCGTTTGGTATACATTCGAAAAACAGCACTGAATTTATTCTTAAAATATTTAATATAATTGATTTTTAAATTATATTAAATAAATTTTAGGTAATATTATATTATGTGGAATTTACATATTTAATACATATTTAAGTTTAAATTATATATTAATAATATTTCTGTTTATTTCATTTTTCTTAACGATTTTTCACATTTATGTATTTCCAGTATTACCAAGTTCTAACAAAATAGTTAATAAATTACATTTTTAGGCCTAAAAATTTCAAACAAATGAGCAAAAATTTTCACAAAATTTTCATCCCCTCAACAAAACCAACATTGAATTTATTAACCCTTCACTATTTTTTAACAAATTAAATCAATTACTATTTTATTTTAATTTTTTTCCAGAAACTGCAATGGGAGTCTCGAAAAAGACCCAAGACAGGAGCGGATTCGAATACGCGATGGCCGTTATGAAAATGTGTGATATTTTGCATTTGAGACACACAAAAGTGTGGTTGTATCCAGACTTCTTATTCAATTTGAGCAAATATGCCAAGGAACAAGTGAAATTGCTGGATATTATTCATGGATTGACGAAAAAGGTAAGAGTAAAAGATTATAAAAGATTTATATGGTAGATTTATGGTGTGATTGACCAAATTTTCGGTTTTGTGGGCCTGGTACGTCTCTGTTATTTGTGCTAGGTTGTTGAAATTTTAGTATGCCATATCTTGATGTGTGTTTTGAATGCAAAAAATATAAACTCGTATATTTATTTAGTAAAATTAGCAAGAAATTTGCGATATACTAAGCAAGCACCGCGAGGTACGTTTGTACCCAAGTTTAACTGATTTTTGCGCAAATTTTTTGAAAGTTTGTTGAAATTTATAAATTTTGTGTTAGTATGTTATTTTTTATTATATATACTGTACATAAAGAATATAAAATTGCATACTGTTCTAACAAAATTATCCGGAAATTAGTAATTTGCAGCACTATTACTTTAGTCTTCTGGGCTCGAATATGCGCAAAGTTAATTTTTAATATTTTGTCACGTCTATACAATTTGTACTAAAAAGTGTTGAAAATGTACCAAGTTATTCCTATGCATATTAAATTATAAAATATTTGCAAGAATTTGTTGCTAGTAAAATTTGCTACAAATCAGCAATTTACTGAACTAGTACCGCGCTCACATGCACCTTGCAATATTATCCTTAACACATAGAAGATGTTATGAAGTATTTGCAATTTATTTATAAACAAAATAAATTTGTTTATAGTATTAAAAATAAATATTATTTTGTGCATTTTAATAATGCATAATACACAAATCTTGTGCTGAAAGTGGTACTAAAATTTAAAACAAGGGCAAAGCTAAAACTTTTGGTTTTATTTATTTATAAAATACAAAGATTGAAATGGTATTCTGTATGGTAAAAAGTTAATATATAATAAATACATTGGAATTTTTTGATTAAATTAAAAATATGTCGATAGTTTTGGTGTCTAAACTTACCAAAGTAAAATATTAGAGGCCTATGAAAAATGGTTTAATTACAAAAGTTATATAATAGTTGCACAAACTGTTTTTAAAATTATTTATGTTCGTATATGCATAAGTATATGCTATGAAGTATGTTTTAATACTTGTACAAATTTCAAGAAAATATTTATAAAATCAATTACTCCAACTTATAACTTGCGTGTTAATAACAATAATGTCTATACAAAATTTATTTGATGCATGCAACATAGTTTTGTTTCCATGTTACAAGTATCACTTAAATTTCCTGTAGACTATATATAACAATTATTGTTATTAACCTGAAACTTAGAAGTTGATGTAAATTATTTAAAAATATTTTTTGAAATTTGTAAAATTAATAAAACGTACTTAATATTATTTACTCGTGCATATATAAATATAAGTAACTTTAAAGACTTAGTGTGCAAACCTGGATTTTTGTAATCAAGGTACTTTTCACAGGCCTCTGATATTTTACCTCGGTGAGTTTGGACACTTGACATCATATCAAGGTGGTTGTGGAATGAATTTGATATAAACTTTGTTCACAATACTGCACTCCTTGTCTACAAGTTCATTGGGTCATCCATTGGGTTTCAATGTTTGCACGTCGGGGTCACCAATATATACACTGAGGGATGTACACATACAAAATTAATATATAATAAATATACTAATTATTTTTTTATTGTTACTACAAACGCACTTACGTACTTTGTCATTGTGCTTGTCTCTTGTCCAATTAATATCGGCAAAAGTCTTTCGGTGGTAAATCCGTCCTTTATGGTAGGTATATTGTTGTCCCTCGAGCTCCAGAAATAAAAGTGACGATTCTAGGCTCTAAGTCAGGTTTTATATGTTTCAAAATAAAGGAGTGGGGATAATTTTTAGTTCAATATTTTGCCGTTGCGTTAAAATTTTTGGCGCCACTTTGTGCAGTGCTTTGTGTGTTTTTTTTGAGAATTTGCAAAATATTTTAAATATGTTTAAATGTAAATTTAAATCGGTCATTTTTATTAATATTTTTTTTTGATTTTTCTCCAGGTTATTCGAAGCAAGAAGGAAGAATTCGCAAAGGGCAACAGAGGATCCTTGGCAATCAACACTTACGAAGAATTAGCCAAGAAAGTCAAAGAGAAGGAAGACGAGAAGGAAAAACATTTGGCCAATGGAAAGACAACCACTGTTGAAGGTTTATCATTTGGACAAAGTGCCGGTCTTAAGGTAATAAAGAATACAAAACTTACGCCTACAAATTTGTGGAAGAACATATAATAGTTTTTAATTTTTTTTATTTTTTAGGACGACCTGGACGTCGACGACAACGATGTTGGAGAAAAGAAACGTTTGGCCTTTTTGGATCTACTTTTAGAGTCCAACCAGAACGGAGTTGTTATTTCTGATACCGAAATTAAGGAACAAGTCGATACCATCATGTTTGAGGTGAATATATACAATGATAGAGTTAATAGAAAATTAATTAAGAATTTATTAAATTTAAATAAAAAATTGTTTTAAATTTTTAGGGACACGATACGACTGCTGCAGGCAGCAGCTTCTTCTTGTCTTTGATGGGAATCCACCAACACATCCAGGTAATTATGAATATTATTATAAATACATATATATATATATATATATATATATGTATATATATAAATAATTTATCCTTTTTAGGATCGTGTTATCCAAGAACTAGACGAAATCTTTGGAGACAGTGACAGACCAGCAACGTTCCAAGACACTTTAGAAATGAAATATTTGGAAAGATGTCTGATGGAGACTTTGAGGATGTACCCACCAGTACCAATTATTGCCAGACAGATTCAGGAAGACTTAAAATTGGGTAAGAGAGTGAAATATTATAGGCCCACGATAAAAGTAAAATGATACGCACAATGATTTTTACATAAAAGTTTAAGTAAGAAAAAATAACTCTGCAGACATGGAGGTTTAAATAAAATTTCTGCTATTATTAATTCTGCTAAACTAATATAGATAGAGTTTTGAAATTTACACCATTAGTTTAGTTGTGAAGAGTTATGTTTTTCAGAGTACCCACATGCCGTGGTTCAAAACAAATTCTGGCAAGAATGATGGCACACATACAGCGTCGAAATGTGCACAATAAATAGTTTACTATTTATTTAGACTATTTGATCGCATATAAATAATATATACTATTTTTTCCCTTTTAGTTTCTGGTGACTTTGTGGTTCCTGCCGGATGCACAGTGATCGTCGGAACCTACAAAATGCACAGAATGCCGGAACACTTCCCGAATCCGGACGTGTTCGATCCGGACAACTTCTTGCCGGAGCGAACTGCCAACAGGCACTACTACGCCTTCGTACCGTTCTCGGCAGGGCCAAGGAGTTGTGTAGGCAAGTACACTTAACAAATCTTGTAACTTTTAAACCGTTTGTGCAAAATAAATGAAACATTCGACAAACTTGTCCAACACAATTGTCTAACACAATAATGACAACTTAAAACTTGGCCTAACCATATTTTTTCTTTTCCTCCCCAGGTCGCAAATATGCGATGTTAAAACTGAAGATAATCCTGTCGACGATCCTTCGTAATTTCCGCGTCCACAGCGACTTAACCGAAAAGGACTTCAGGCTTCAGGCCGACATCATCCTGAAAAGGGCCGAAGGATTCAAGGTGCGCCTGACGCCCCGGAAACCCGGAAGCTCCGTCAGGACTTTGAAGGCGTAACCGGAACAAAAAGACATCGGAAGTGCGAAATGGACGATGAAATTGATACGATTATATAGATATATATGTACATGAAACAAATTGAATAAAATGTTTTATTAAGGGTTTTTTTTATCTAAAACACAAATTCGTAGCTGGTTTTGTAAAAAAACACTTGAAAAAGTTAATTGTGCACTTTGTGCAAAAAATCAAATAATGTAAATATTTATATATAGACTTGTATCAATTTATTCCTTTTATTTATTCAATCATGAATTTGTTGTTATTATTGCGAATTTAAATAATTTTTCTATCATATACATTTTTGCATGTAAGTAATCCATGTCGAGAGGGATGTTAGGAATATTTTGTATATTTTATTTAATTAGTAATTATTATTTTTATTTCATTTGTGTAATTTGGATGAAATAAATTTATGTGCGTATTGAAATTTACAAATGTTGTTTTATTAATTAATTTTACATGTATATAATTGATAAAAACAATCCAGATAATAAAATAGAAAGAAAACTAAACTAAACTAAACTGCTGCTAAAATGTTGATACTAAAACTGTGTTACCAGTCTATATAAATACACGTTCTATGCTCTATGTTTATTTTCTGTTGTAAATATTTTTAAAATAAATCAACAGTCAGTTCTGCCGGGACTTGGTTCAACAAGTGTCTTTATCGTAATAATAATTGCCATTTGTCATACATTTAAATAGATTTAAAGTTAAAGTGTGTTTTGTGTGAAAATATGATTTGGGTAAGTACCAAACAAATGTTTTATATTTTAATTTTAAGGCAAAGTGATTCATGTTTATGTATTTATAAATATTTTGGCAAACTGTTGGGCATAATTCTAAACAGATATTTGTTTCAACACATTGTGATATTCATTCAGGTCCAAAATAATGATTAATACATAAATTTGTTACATTAAGCGTCAAAATTGAGTTATACTGTTTAAGGTTAAACATCAAACAAATGACAAACGTCAAACGTCAAAATTGACAGTTTTTTCATGTTAAAATGTCTGTTGTGACAGTGTTGAATATAAAATATTTTATTTGTAAATAAAACCACAAAAACTTAGTGAAAAAAAACGTGGATGGAAATATTTCAAAAGTGTAAAATGCTTTTTTTTATTGTTCAAACAAAAGGTTTGTTTTTTATATAAGGAAATACGTTTTTGAATGTCTTATTTGAAAACAAATAATTGTGTATTAATTGTCGTGTTAATAATATTTATTAAAAGTGCAGTTGTTATTAATAATTCAATATTTACATCATACAAATGGATCAAAATACATAAATGCTCTTTGTAAGTAATGTTTTTTTTTTAATCATAAGTGCCATTATTAATTAAATCAATTAATTAGTTTAATTGATGAAATAAAAATTATTGGTTTGTCTATCTATAATGTTATTGAAATATTTAGGAAATTTTCACAAAATTAAATTACCAACATTTTTTTTAAATATTTGAATATTTTAAAAAGCAGAATAATGATTTTAGCGAGCTAACAGTATAGTTATACTGTATAAGATTTATGAATCATTAACCATATTGGATTCATGGATTTTATCAAACAAATTTTTCTCAATTGCAATCGATATGCGAGTTTGGTCATTTTTTTTTACATTTTGTCAAATATTTTGGAATTTTTATTCTGGACATTTTCTATGTTTATTTTAGTATAAACTAGATAAAATTTTGCTAGAGTTTGCTGTATATTGTTATATTCACTTTTATATTAAAATTCTGAATAATTTGTAGTTGAAGCGCAGATTTGAGTTTGATAATTGGCTATAGGTGGATTATGGACATTTTTTACATTTTGTCAAATAACTTTAAAACTATGTTCAGAACATGTTTATTTGTTTATACTAGTATAAACTAGATGAAATTTACTAACAAATAGTATAAATTGTTTTATATACTTGCGTATCAAAATTTTGAACAATTTTCAGTTGAAACGCAAATTTAAACGTAATATGTAGATTTTGGACTTTTTTTTTACTTTTCTTCAAATAACTTTTAATTTTCGTTTTGGGCACGTTAATTTGTTTACATTAATAAACACTATATCAAATTTACTAAGTACTAAAATTTCGTATAATTTTTAACTGAAACGCGAATTTGTGTCTGTGTACATTTTATCAACCAACTTGAAAATTTTGTTCTAGGCATTTTAATTTATTTATATAAGTAAAAATAGATAAAATTTAGATTCATAAATCATAAATAATATTAAAAGCAAAGACTGCTATTCATGATTTTGTTAAAACTACAGTGATGATATCAAATTGTTCGATTATAATAAATGATGTATTTGAAGTTGAATCCATGGATACTATCCATGGATTGTTTTAAGAGCTTTTTTTTTAACTTTGGAAATGATATCAAGTTATTCGATTAACATAAATGATGTACCTACAAATTATTCAAATGTTTTTATTTTTTCACCGAGTTTTTGTGGTTTTACTTTCAAATAAAATATTCAAAGCTTACTTATTGTTACTAGTCTGGTATTAAGTAACAAGTAATCTTATTTTAAATGTATATCCTTAGAATGAATATTTATTCTTTTCACAGGTACTTATGCACTTATAGGAACAGGAACCATAAAATCTGGTCTCCCCTACACTAAAGGACATTTATGATCAAGAACTTATTGGACAAAGTTTTTGGATGATTTTTTATTACACCAAGGACGAAATCATCCTGTTTGATGAGCTTTCAGGGCATGTTCCACTGGAAACAACAAAAACTTTGGTTGCAACATCGGAATTTTAGCAAAAAAATAGATTTGTTTTCGCTATTTTGGAAATGTTTTGACTGATTCCAAAAGATTTTCGAACGCTGATTTCAAAAATGCTATCTATTTTTGGGATAAACCCACATACACCCCCCGAAAAATCGAAATCTTTGGTTGCAAAATCGATTTTTCTTTAAAAAAATCGGCTTTCTTCGCGATTTTCAAAATGTTTTGATTGGTTTCGATTGATTTTGGGACGCTCATTTCGAAAATATTATCCGTTTTGGATAAATCCACATACAACCCCGAAAAATCAAAATCTTTGGTTGCAAAATCAAACTTTTACTAATGAAATGAAAACTTTTTTTCGCGATTTTCAAAATGTTTTGACCGATTCTGATAGTTTTCGAGGCGCTGATTCCGAATATGATATCAGTTTTTGGAAAAAAAAATCTTCTTCTGCCCTTGGTACGAATTTGAAGTTTGAAAAATCGCCAACTTTGAAGCTGATTTTAACTATGAAGACGATGATAAATTTGTAATTTTTTGGTTTGGTATAAAGATTGTACTTTAGTCTACACAAAGCATTAATTAAAATTATTACTACTTTCATTCATTAAGGGCCTTAAAATTGCATTTGAAAGTCAGATTTTGGCCAATTTTGGCTGCTCC